TACGCGCTCAACGTGAATATCGCGAGAGTTTGCACCGATGTAAACCCTCTACACAAAAATGTAGAGGGTTGTTCGAAAAAAATGCCGACCGTAAAGTTTTTTTTCGACGTAGAAATTCTCGGTCGGTCGGGTTATCAGAAACACACTACTTTTTTTTCTACGCCTGACATAAAGCTGTATGCTGAGAGCGAAAGGGACATAGACTCCCTGATCCACACAATCAGGATCTACAGCAGTGACATCGGATGTCATTCGGGCTTGAGAAATGTAGTCGCATGGTGACTAAGAGAGGCAAGGTAGTCCACACTGAAGGGGTCTCACTCCCTGAAGGAACAATAGCAGACATTGAGGACAGCTACAAGTACCTCGGTATACCACTAGCCAACGGTAACCTCGAACTGGCAACAAAGAAAGCGGCTACGGCTAAATACCTCCAGCGGGTGAGGCAAGTCCGAAGAAGCCAGCTCAATGGCAAGAACAAGACCCGGTCAATAAACAGCTATGCCCTACCAGTGATCAGATACCATGCAGGAATAATAAGGAGGCCAAAGGAAGAGATTCAGACCACGGACGTTAAGACCCGAAAGCTCCGAACCATGCATGGAGGGTTCCATCCCAAATCCAGCACCCTGAGACTGTACGCAAGCCGTCAGGAAGGAGGCCGGGGATTAGTGAGTGTGAGAGCCACTGTCCAGGATGAAACATCCAAGCTCCATGAATACATCAAGGAGAAGGCTCCAACGGATGACGTACTCAGAGAATGTCTCAGACAATGGGGAATAGAGGATGAGGTGCTGGAATAGAAACTATCATGGGAGGACAAGCCCCGACACGGGATGTACCACCGGACCATAACTGAAGTGGTTGATCTCAAGAAGTCCTATCAGTGGCTCGAGAGGGCCGGCCTGAAGGACAGCACAGAGGCACTCATCCTGGCTGCTCAGGAGCAGGCCCTGAGCACCAGAGCCATTGAGGCCCAGATATACCACACCAGACAAGACCCAAGGTGTAGGTTGTGCAAAAAGGCACCTGCGATGATCCAACACATAACTGCAGGGTGTAAGATGCTGGCAGAGAAAGACTACATGGAACGCCATAACCAGGTGGCTGGCATCTTCTACCGAAACATCTGTGCGGAGTATGGACTGGAAACCCCAAGGTCAAAATGGGAAACACCTCTGAAGGTGGTGGAGAATGACTGAGCAAAGATCCTGTGGGACTTCCAGATCAAGAATGACAAGATGATAATGGCGAACCAACCAGATATCGTGATCATAGATAAAGGGCAGAGGAAAGCCGTTGTAGTGGATGTAGCGGTCCCAAGTGATGGAAACATCAGAAAGAAGGAACACGAGAAACTCGAGAAATACCAAGGACTCAGACAGGAGCTGGAGAGAGCCTGGAAGGTAAAGGTGACAGTCGTGCCTGTGGTGGTTGGAGCACTCAGGGCAGTGACCCCCAAACTAGATGAGTGGTTGCAACAGATCCTGGGAACAACATCGGACATCTCAGTCCAGAAAAGCGCAGTGCTGGGAACAGCAAGGATACTGCGCAGAACCTTCAAGCTTCCTGGCCTCTGGTTGAGGACCCGAGCTGAATGTGGGACGGACACCAACCGAGGGGTGAGATGTGGATTTTTTTTTCTTTACATGTACATACATATGTATTATTTGACCGTTTTTCAAATTGGCATTTTCACTGTTGACTGTAGATACTGCCTTATGTGCATTAAGTGACCTAGGGTAAACCTTTCACACCTTTATGATCACGATAACTTGTTGAAAAACTGCACCTATATGTGAAAGCATAACCTGCTTGGTGTGGGTGATTTAACTTGATCAAATAATTTGCATGAACTTTCCATGACACACGTTAAAAGGAAAGCATAATATGCTTGTATTTAAAACACAAGTGAAACTAATTACAGCGACAGCGTCTGCCGAATATTCCTTAATGACAAGCTTGACTTTTTTTGTCTGCAAGCAGTTACCATTACTTGCTGGTTGCTTTCCAGGTTGGGACTTCCCTTTTCGCATCGGCGTCGAAAATGTCACTCGAAAGACTGCAGTCAAGCCAGCCTCCACTCGCAAAATTTTAGTCAAGTGAGCCGCCACTGTGATTGTAAATACTGTGCATTGCGGTAATGTGCCGCCAGCGCCACCTTCAAAATAAAAGCATACCAACTAATGCATGCACTCAGTGGTTTGGATTAACAAAAAAAACAAACAAAAAAAACAAACAAACCATCTATAACAGAGATGAAAGTGGACTTTTCTGAAAATTCCGGAATTTTTATATATATATATA